AGTCTTTCTCCACCCACCTTATTTGGCCATTCCTTCCTTTGTGTAATGAACAGAGCGTGGAGAGAGAGAGGGAGCTCTGTGCATGGTAGCCCTGTTCCTGCATCCACTGCAGGCCATGCGACTATGCTGCTCCTGCTTTGGGGGCATGTCTGTGGAGGGTAATCCTGCTGAATGTGTGTAGGCTGTCCCTGTGAGTTTGGATTCTTTGCGACAGAGTCGGCACAGTTTATTCCTGGAGGTTTTGTATGTGTGCGTGCGTGTGTATGCGTCTGTGATCTAATTTCAGAGCACAGAATTATCAGGTCTTCTTGTACCTCTCTGCCTGCTTGCAGTTAGAAAGAACCGCCCAGAGTGAGTACACCTTATTTAGTCCCCCCCCCCCGCCGATAATATCAGCCTGTGCTAATGATTTCAAATGACCTTAGCGCAGTAGAAATGCACTCTCATTCTTGTCAAGTTTACTTGCACGCAAGGATGTGTAACAACATAAGAGAATTGATTTCTTCCCCTGTTATTATCTTCGGGTAGCATGCCTCTCGTCTCCCTTGGCTAACAAAGAAATAGGAAACCCCTCTCTTTTGGCTTCAGGATACACATCTGACACCCTGTTCCTGTATTTACTCTAAGGAGGCTGGACATGGGGAGCAAGCTAGCTGGAAGCTATATAATAAACTGGAGCACAGGGACAATGAGCAGTCACAGTCTAAGCAACTGAACAGTATTTGCCGTGTGAGCCTATTCAGGTGTGATCTGTACACACTATTGCTGCATCTGTGGTAATATGCAGAAACTAATAAAAATCTAAGTGCAATTCTATGCACATGTGCCTGGGAGTAAGCCCCATTGCTCTCATATAACAAGAATCGATGCAGACATGGGTAAGATTGAAGAAATAGTCAGCAAATCATCATGTATATAATGTGTTCAATATAAGTGGGACGCAGCAACAAAATGTGCTCTATCCTTCCTCACTCCCAACAGGAGTGCTTCTGGGTTTCAGCCTTCCATTCCTTCCAAGCAGGATATTCCACTCCTCTTTATCCCCCCTCCTTTTTTCTGTTTTTCTTTTACAACTGATACTCAACCTTCTGTGGCTACTGAGCATATTTGGTCCTTGTTTTGCTGTTTTTAGAAGGAGGGCTTCCCCATTTTAGACCATATATATATATATATGTATATATATATATACACACACAAACTGCAAAACTAGGGATTCCCTGAAAACGCACATGCCTCCCTCTTCTTTTTTCACTGCTAAAGTGGCCTCATTTTGGCTCCAGTCCCATCCAAACTCGACATCTGAGCTTGCTATTAGAAGGAGCAATATGTAAAATCACTATTTCTTTATTGACTAAATAAACTACACAGAAGCTGCTGCTGCAAAACTGTCCCTTTCAAATCAATTCTGTTCATTCTCTTCATAAAAGGACTATCATGGTCCTTCACAATATGCAGTTCTGATCCAATAGTTATTTTAAAATCAGTGGTTCAGGTTCTGGCTGGTTTTCTGTTGAGGTTTGGCTTGGCACTGCTTTTGCTGGTGACATTCCGCTGATAACATTATAGAAATATGAGGTTACTTAGCAGGCAAAGTGGTTTGACTAATAACATGCACAGCATGATCACAACGTGCTAGGCTGTCTCAGAAACCTGCCGGGTGAGGTTTAACTAATAATAGGTGTTTTAACATATTCGTAGCGGCAACATCCAGGACTTGTTTCCGCTAATTCCATTCCTTTGAAATTGTTGAATTCTTTCCATTTATTTGCCCCCTTTGCTTAGCCGTTATATCTTTTTTTACACCTTAAGAAAAAAGAACACCTTTGTGGATATGGGTCAAATGGTTTGGCATGTAGGGATGGAGGAAGAAGCTACACTATGATTCAGATGTTAATGCAAACTGATCTAATTTGCATTTCTCAAAACAATACATAAACTGAGATGAGGTTGTCCTTTGAAATGTGCACTTCTCTGAATTTTGTGACTGACTTCTCCAATCTAAAAATGTGTTCAAGACTGCCTCTTTTAGGGGAAAGTGCAGAGAAAAAAATGCACATATTATTGAAAACATATTGAATCAGGATAATGTGTTTGCAGAAGTGTTCATATTGGAAAAAACGACATACTAAAATATTTCTGTTAAGAGAAATGCCCACTAAAAAGTTGATGCATTTTCATTTAAAAAACAACAACTCTCCAAATGAGGCAGAAATAATAATTGTGGTGAACTGAATTTGAGATGGGGGGGGGGGGATGAGAAACTAAGACAAACTGAAATTTGAGAGAGTCATCCATTTTAGTTTCAAAGTAGGTGACATTCCCTTTTCCTTATGTGATTTATTTATTTGAATTTATAAACTGCTTGACTGTTTCTATTAATTATAATTGTTTTATCTTTTTTATAAACTGCTTTAAGGTTTTTCCACAACCAACAACAATAATTTAAAACATTAATTTTTTAAAAAAATCAACAACAAAGCTTAAAACAGATTAAAACATGCACCAAAATTCTAAATATCTCGGTAGGCTTGCCTAAACAAAAATGTTATTAGCAGGTGACAAAGAGGTACAGTGAAGGTTTCCACCTGATATCCATGGGCAGGGAGTTCCAAAGTATAGGTCCTGTCACACTAAAATGTTGCATTCTTACAAATGCAGAATGGATATTATGTGGCACCTGTAACATTGCCAATACTGCAGATCAAAGCAGTTGAATGGCATATATGGGGTAAAATAGATGGCTAGAAATATGACTTTTTAATTCAAATCAGCAAAAAAACTGTTTTCAGGCTCCCGAAAAAGTGACATGGCTTTAAAGCTGTGTGATTGTGGTAGGTGTTTCTGTCATAAAGAAATGACATAAGGACTCCCTGCTACCAAAACATGGTGAGTGTGAAATGAATAAATGTGAACATATTTCACATATTATCAATCTGAAGTGATTGTGCTTGGCTATGCCATATGTATAATATACTGTATATTAGTAAAACCAAATTTAATTTAGTTCAAGAAAATGATTGTGGATAAGTTACTGATGTTCAGATAGAACATTCCTCATATAACCATGACTAGGAGATTGGGACTGTGCAATGTTCTCCTCCTCCCCCTTTTATTAATTCCCCGCATCTATAGCTGGATTCCGCCATAGTGTAGTGTTACACATGTACCTTGATTTCCTCTTAACCAGGCATTGCAAACTTGTTTCAAGGGCAATTCTGGTTAACATCGACTCTGGTTAGTTAATGTTAACCAGTGCAGATATAACACTTCAGCAAGGTTGAAACACATTATGAAAGAGAGGCAGAATTTGCATAGGAGAGGTTTGTAGGCAGGAGTAAGAAGCCCATAGCCTGCTTCTGATTTCTTATACATGGCTACATTGGAAATATTCTGCATCCAGCTGCTATCTGTCTTTGTGACAATAGAAGATAGAGCTACCAATGGTTACTAGCTATGAAGGCTATGTTCTACACCACTCCAGTTGCAGGTAATCACAGATGCTGTCCGGTTCTGTTTGTGGGTTTCCTATGGGCATCTGTTTGGCCATTGTGAGAACAGAATGCTGGACTAGATGGGCCACCTCTTATGTTTTGGGCATGTTTTTGGTTGTGGGGATAGTTGCATTTTCACAGTATATTCATCTTGTTTTCTTGATGAAGGACTCCTCTGTATCCATCCCCACCATCTCCACCACACCTCCTTTGGGTGAATGTCACACCCATCGAGCTTTCCTGCCAACATCCTTTTTAAAACAAACAAAAAACACCTACATTCTAGCTTTCCAAGAACTCTGATCCACACCTATAAGCCGAGCATCTGAATGATCAATCTTATTGATTTCCCCCCAAGTGCCTTCATTCAGAATCATCGCTGCATGCTAGGCTGTCTCAGAAACCTGCCAGGTACATTATTGGTTGAAATGCTTCCTTTCAGTATTTCTGCAGCTTCTCTCCCTCCTCCACTTTCACTCGCTCACATACACACATTGTAACTTTTCCAGGAAGTGTAGAGTACATGAACGTAGTAGGGTATTCAAGGATGTCTAATTTTAAAACAATAGTAAGTATGCGTTGTTGTGTATTGCAGCAAATGTTGAGTGAAACATCTACAAAGGACAGTCTATGCACATACAGTTATACACACATAGGCTTTGTTGCAGTCAAGAAACCTGATACTCAATTGCATGGAAGCTTCTGTGTGAATAGCTCTAAACACATAGGCTTCCCTTTGCAGATGCCCCACCCATTTCGTGGAGACATCAAGGAGTGGGGTCAGCATGACAGCAAGAGACGGCCAGCAGATGTGGTCTAATCTCCTTCCATGCATCTCATGTACGTTTGGAAGGAACATGTGATGACATCTTAAGACATACAGATTGCTGTAATTACTAAGAATCAGCATGGGTTTCTCAAAAACAAGTCATGCCAGACTAATCTCCTTTTTTAAAAAAATTGAATTACAAGCTTGGTGGATCAGGGGAATGTTGTAGACATAGTGTATCTTGATTTCAGTAAGGCTTTTGACAAAGTCCCCAATGATATTATTGTGAGGAAGCTGGTAAAATGTGGGGTGACGGATGCTCCAAAGATTTCCTAAGCCAGCACCACAGTAATAAGGAGCAGGACTATCAGTGTGGCTGCCCCTGTTCTATGGAATAGTATTCCTGTTGAGATACCCATTATCTGTACTTTGTGGAAACAAATGAAGACATTTCTGTTCTGACAAATTTTCCCAGCTGGATAAATTGGTCTTTGTTACACATGTCTATTTGGTATTGTTTTAAATGTATCAGGGTTTGTATTTTGTTTGTTTGTTTGTTTGGCATGTTTAGCTTTTTTTTGCTGTTTTTATTCTACATCACCTTGAAACAATTGTGTAAAAGGTGATTAACAAGATGATGATGATGATGATGATAAATCATGCTCCTCTTAACGAGGGCAGTTATTGTGGTATGTTAAATATGTTTCTCAAGAATTAATGTGAGCAGAAACATTTGCAGAGGAAGGGCCATAGCTCAGTGGTAGAGCATCTGTCTTGTATGGAGCAGGTCCCAGGTTCAATTACAGGGCCCAGCATCTTCAGGTGGGGGTGGAACCCTCTGTGTGAAACCCTAGATAGCTGCTGTCTATCAGTATAGACAGAACTGAGCTAAATGAACCAGTGGTCTGACTAAGTATATGGCAGCTTCCTAGGTTTCTATGGAGGGACACCAATCAGTGGGAGAGCAACCATTGAGGTGTGTGTAAGCACACAGGTTGGGATACATGTAAGGGAGGTCTTAAAAATGTTCAAGAGGCTGCTCATATGTGCTTGTTGGGTAAGGCAGCAAATTTTTAGTTGCACAGAAATACAGTTGCTGCTTATTCCCTGTTCTGAAAGCTTGCTTGCCTACTTGTAAGGAGGAAGAAATGAAAAGTAGACTGTCCACATTCTTGGTGGTGTCTTCCAGTGAGTGCAATCCTGCCCAACTAATGTAACTTTGATGAGGATTTGAGTTGGGATTTCCTTTCCAGGAAGGAAATGCGGTGGGTGGGGGAGATTCACAGCCTTCATTATAAATGAAGACAGGAAAGGAAATGTTTATAAGGAGGCTGATACCAGACAGGAGGGAGACAGCAAGTGCAGAGGTGCCAAGTATGTTAGATCTCTTAGATGCAGTAATCAATGGAGGAGGCAATCCTTTTCTACCCATAATTCCCAGCTGTCACTGTCATTGATGAGGACTTGTTCAATAACTCACAAGGTTCTTTAGTTCAGAGGATAGTTCTTTAGTTCAGAGGATAGAGTATACCAACACTAAACCCAAACTCTGCACAGATATTCTTTCTTTTTGCCTCTTTATTACAGTATTCTTATTCTTATATGAAATCTTCTTGTTTTGTTTTGTCTTCAAGTGGAAGGTGAAGGAGTGTGACACTGGAGCAGTGCATATCATAGCACACTATTAAGGCTTCCTCCTAAGCATAGCTGTCAACTTTCAGATTTGAAAATAAGGGATCAGCAGTCTCACCTGTCCTGGGGACAGTCTACGGGATATCTAACAATCTGGGATAGCAGCGGGAAGCAGCAGGAAATGGTGCTGGAATAAGGGAATTTCCTGCAAAAAAAAAGGGAAGGTTGACAGCTATGCTCCTAAGCCTTTCAAATTCTGAACGAATTCCTTCCTCTTTCTTTGCTTCCCATACCTGGCTGGTAGGAGGGTGACTAGCTGGGTTAGGAACTGTTTACAAGATCTGAAGGAAATGGTTAATAGGCATAAGCTGTAGAGCCAGGGATGGGGAAGCTGTTGGCCTCTTTTAGGGTTGCTGTATTTTGAAGAGCAAAAAAGAGGTCTGGGTGGAGAACAGAGGGGTATGTGCAGAAATGAGCCTACACTACAAAGATACGATTTTGTGCTTGTACCCAGCTTTGTCTCTCACCCCACCCATCACTGGCATCTGGCCCTAAGACGTTGCTCAGAATGGAACATGGTCCTCACCTGGTTCCCACAGCTTCCTCAGATGTGTGCATTTAAACACATGCACATAGACATATATATACACACCTCGTTCTACTGCTTCTAATGGGTTGAATAGTGATATGCTGTGTCTTGTTCCTTCTTATTTGCATAGACCAGATATTTTGTTTTTGTTTTTCAAAGCCACCCCTCCCACTCCCTGTTCAATCTTCCACTTTTTCACTTGCTCTCTGAAAAATTGCTGCTCGCAAATCATCTCCATAAATCTTACAGAAAATCAGTCATAAAACCCCATGTCCTTACATATGGCGATATCCCAGGGACAGATCTGCCATATGTGAAGAACAGCCCCTGGAAAAATGTTTGTGTGTGTGTGTTCTCTTATTCTCTTGTTGTTTATAGTGCCTAAAGTTGAAGTTGTGCTCTGCCCCCCCCCAATCTTTCTTATGTCAGTTTCTGCTTTTTTAGGATGAGAATTCCCAGTGTGCTAATTATAAGACATTGTCACTTTACTTGCTTCTCCTGCTGTATGCCAGTCATAAGAAGATGGATGATTAAAGAAGGGATAGAATGGTGTCTTTTGTTCTTTCTTTCTTTTTGTTTCTTGCTTCAGGTATCAGATGCCTTCAGCAGCTTTCTTTTATTGGTGGTGATGGGGGTGGCGGCTTTCTTTTATTGGTGGTGATGGGGGTGGGGGTGGTTGTTTTCTTCCAAGGCTGCTTCAGAACAGTACAGGCAACATCTTAGAAACTTTTATTGGCATTGGTCCATTCTAAGAGAGAGACAAGGTTTCTTCCTAATCTTTTCCCAAACACTGGATGCCTCTTTTAACATTCATTCTACACCTACAGGGACTGATTTGAGTTAACACTCAGATCAACAACATAACGAGGAAGGAAAAGTACTTCTGTATTCTGCCTTGGTCAGACCCGGCCTGGAGTCCTGGCACCACAGTTTGAGAAAGATATTGACAAGCTGGAGCATGTGCAGAGCAAAGGCGACCAGGATGATAAATTGTCTGGAAAGTAAGCCTTGTGAGGAACAGTTGAGGTGACTGGGTATGTTTAGCTTGAAAAAGCAGAGACTTAGAGGAGATATGATAGCCACCTTCAAATTTCTAATGGGCTGTCACATGGAGCAAACTTGTTTTTTCCTGCTACAGAGGGTAGGACCTGAACAAATGGCTTCAAGTTACAAGAAAGGAGATTCTGACTAAATCAGGAACAACTTTCTGATGGTAAGAGCTGTTTGAAAGTGGAATGGGCTGCCTTGGAAGGTGATGGATTCTCCTTCATTGGAGGTTTTTAAGCAGAGATTGGATGGCCATCTGTCAGGAATTTTTTAGTTGAGATCCTGCATTGCAGGGGGTTGGACTAGGTGACCCTCAGAGTACTTTCCAATTCTACAATTTTATGATAAAGCAATTGTCTAAGAACCAGGTCCCCACGCATAGTCATTTCAATCTACTAACCCCATTTCCACACTTACCCTGCCTGTCATATTCTTAGACGTTATGCTAGTGACTACAACAATGAATCATCGCAAATATGTGTTTCTGAGCATTACAAGAGTGCATTTCCTTTGCCACCAAGCACACTGATCTGGTTCCCACTTATCCAAAATGAAAGAGAAGGGATTCCAATTTGGATGTTAACCTTTTATTAAGCAGTGGGTACTAGAGAACTTGTTTTCATTCTTTTGTAGCTGTTTGCATGATACTTAGGTGCTCTGTGTTAGTTTTTATTATCATTCTTTCTCTGTTGCTGCTACTGTGTCCCAGAAAATGAATGTAAATATCAGCTGGAGCTTTAACTTTTTATTCTCTGTAGGCTGACAACTTAAGTGAGAAGCTCTGATTTACCATTTCAAAGTGTTAACATTTCTACCCTGAAACACTGATTCTTTATCACAGATACAAATGTTCTCCCGATGTCTGCAAACCACTTTATCTGGTGTTCTTAAGGGAAGGCTGGGGCAGCAGATGGGGTGGGGGTGGAGGAGAGACTCCTTTATTATGCTTTTGGTAGTTGTCCACTGTAAACAACACAAACAGCAGCCTCTAGTCAGGAGACCGAAAACTCTCCCAAAACACCATGGGAGGAAGAAATGAGAAAAGTTAACCCCATTTGGTGATTTCCAACTATGTTATATTTTGGGTAGATCAACTGAAATCAGTTGAATCCATAGATTTTAAATGGTATATTCTGAGTAGGACTAACATTGGATATCACCCATTATCAGAATATGACTTAGACATAAGGTTGTGTGATTATGGGTGCTCCAAGAATTTTTGGAAATTCAATTCAATGTTGCAAACTTCATTTTATAATTCATTTTGTCAAATTGGTTTTATTACATGGCCATTGTTTTGGATGACCTTTCCCCCTTCCCTTTGTCAGTTGCAGCAACAGGCATAATTTTGGCAATTACCTCGTAGTAACCTACATATTGTTTTCCAAGAATGCTCCTGACATTGAAGTTGGGGTTGGCGGGGATGGCTGCTGCCACACAAATATGGTGGCTGCCCAGAACTGCCATTCTCCACCCTACCCCCAAATGGCACAACACCCAGGGCATTCTGGGAAAATAAAAAAGTGACTACTGAAGCAGTAGCCACCACCAGAGAACGACGCACACACAACCTCAAATGAGCGGCAGGTGGGTGTGAATGGGATATTGAAAAAAGCCATTTATACCCATTCATCACTGATTCATTACTTATGGCATTCATTTGTAACAAATTAACAGTGCCCTATTGGGTTCAGTTTTTAATTTGATAGGAAGTCCCACCTTCAGTTAAAAGTTCTGTTCTGACGTAAATAAACATGCTCTATCTGCCAGCTATGAGCCAGGAAATCTCCAGGCTTAACCATGAACCTGCTAGGTGGCCTGAGGTTGGCTAGTTTGTTCTTGGCCTCAGCTTCCCATTCTGCCATAGTGGCCTAAAACTAGTTAGAGCAGAACTGACATATTGGCAAATTTTTGAAATTTTGTAACCTTAGAGGTTGGTGCCAAAATGGGACTTCGAAATTTGACAATTGTTTATTTATGGATTGGTTGCATGAACAGTTAATGCAACATTGACTAAATTTCACAGCAAGTCATCTATCAGATATTGTCAACTGTTCACTTCTGCTTGTGAGATAAGTGTCAAAACTGACTGCTAAGTGTATAAATGCTGTGCAGACTTGACTGCTGCTGTGTGTCAGCCACTGGTTACTGTCAAGTATTTCAGAATCCAGTCTAAAATAGCAGACACTTGCCAAATAACAAAGCATATTTGTTATCAACATTAGCAAGCTATTTTTTAGGGGGGAAATTGGGGGGTTTTGGGGGGGATAAAAAGGCATTTTAGATCTAATGTTGGCCAATCTTACAGAGTTAAAATCATGGAGTTGGAAAGGATCTCGGAGGTAATCTTATCCTGCTAAATGAAGGATCCGCAGTACAGGTTACAACAGCCTTGCTAATTATAGGTGACTAGGAAATGTATGTGGGCAAAGTGAGCATGGTGGTAGAGGAAGGACAGAATGCTTTCCCTGTCCTCTGAGCCCAGCACAGAAACTAGGAAGGTTGCTAAAGTGTGTAAGCTCCCTCCTCTATCTAGCATGGAATAACAGTTCTTTGCTGCAAGAGGGATGGAGCTCTCCACCCTTCCACTACCAGCCACCAGCAGGCTAGCAAATATTTTTGCAAGCTAGTAGTTGGGCTCCGGCAAAGAAAGGCCCGTCATCTCTGCTCCAGGGTTGAACAGCTTTGCAGTCAGGATAGCTCAGTTGGTAGAGCATGAGACTCTTAATCTCAGGGTTATGGGTTTGAGCCTCACATTGGGTGAAAGATTCCTACGTTCCAGGGGTTGGACTAGATGATCCCCCAAAGTCCCTTCCAACTCTACAATTCTGATCCTTGCCATTAGAAAGTCTCTTTAATGTTTAGCTTAAATCTGCTTTCCTGGAATTTCTACCCATTAATTGCAGTCCTTCCCTTTGAAGCAGCAGAAAACAATTCTGTTCCATCTACTGCATGATAGACCTTTGGATATTTGAAGACCACTATCATGTCTTTGTGAGAACAAGATATGAAATCAGGGCTAGATTAAACAAACCCTAGTTCCTTGAATGTCGATGTCACAGGGTACAATGGCTGGTTTAAATCCAAAAGCAACTGCTTTTTATCTCTTGCCTTCCCGCATTTAAGAGGAGCACATGAACCTGAGAATCAGCATTGTTTGTTCACATAGTGGTAAAAAAATTATTACCCCTGAACTGGGCCATCATGGTGTTCTCTCTCTTTGCCATGGGTCTCTCCATGACCCCAACCTATTAGCAAACAAACACACAGCCACTGCTAGTACTGGTAGGAAATTAGTCACTCATCTTGCTTCATGCTGATCTCCAAATAACTGTGAATGGAGAACAAATTGAAGAAAGGAGCAACAGGCACAGATTAAAAATGCATCAGCTAATGTGAGAATGACACCAAGACATTTACCAAAGCAAACAATTATCACTCAAGTATTCTCTGTCACCAGGCTAGATGGAAGCTGTGTTAAAATTAATGTTACACTGCGGCATACAAGCAACAACACCCAGTCGCTCCATGTTCAGTCACTATAATGAAGTTGTAAGGCTGATTAAAACAAATGCATTTGACACACGGAGTGCATGGGAGCGGGGGCGGGGCGGGGGACGCATGGTATGATTTTCTTTGAAGTTGACTAGTGGGAGTTCTTAACAGGAGCCAAACTGTTGTTAATAGGATGTACCACAGTTGCAATGTAAAGAATAATTAAGGCTAAATCCCAGCTGAAGTAGTGGAAGGACCGATTTCGTGCAACACTTTCTCTGTATCTCTCCACATTTATTTGTCTACTTTAGCCTATATTGATATTCAAAAAAATCCTTATCACAAGTGTCTTACAACTGCAGCGATCTTTATTTTTACATAGAATAGAAATATCATGAGTACAAGGTACATAATTTTTTTTTAAAAAAGAGCCCTGCCAGTTCTGTATTTGGCAAGCATGAGAAGGGGTGCAAAAGGTTATACCAAGTCTCCATGCAACAGGAGCTCTCTCCCATGTGCCAAGGTGTTATATGTGCATGCATCCCCTTCTCACTGTTGCCAAATGTATTGCCAGCAACCCTAGAGAAATTGTTCACCTGAAGGGAAAATCTTGATTGTGTGGAGATAGGAGAACCTTTGCATGTACATGCTATTCCTTCCTCAGATGTGTATGTGTTTATATAGGATGGTGTTAGGTATAGAGTGTTAAGTTGCAACTGTGGTTTCCTACATTCCAACTTCTATTTTACATTGAAATGAATTATTATTATTATTATTAAGGTTGGTGGGTGGATGTGCGCACGTGTTACAACTTAGTTTCTAAAACAGCAGGGAATTTTCTTACATATATGTGTGCCCTGAATATATACATATTTAGCAATATGCAAAAATAAGAATTAAATTTCTGTACAGTCTTTATTACCTTCTTAATTTTTGGTTTTGCAGCTCTTCTGCAAAAGTTTATATTGGGGAGAGGAGGTAATTGTGTTTTGACTATGAAAGGCATTTCTGAGGACAATTCCTTTTTAGCACAGTTTGCAATGGAGACCCTGCACAAATTCTTGAGGAGGTTAATGATTATTTTCCCAGTGCAGTGTGTCCAGTACACAGAGGTTAATAAAACCCGTAGCTCTTCTTCATGGCTATCATGGGATGGTTAATGTTCAGAATTGTGCAGGATCTCTGCTTAATGTTCCAGTTGAAGAATAATGCTGCCCGGAGCACATCATCCCTTCATATGTAATGCAGGCACTGGTGGATTAGAGGGACAGGCATGGTCCATTCATGATTTTTGGCCTGAGACAAAAAAGTTCTTTTCCCACCATGGCTAGGGACCAAACAAAAACCTATCAAAAGATTAAGAAGGCTAGAAATGTCTCTAAAATATTCAGCAAAAGGTTGCCACTTAACAATACTTAAGGTAGCCAGAGGTTCTGCATTCTGCAGAGGTTTATTTATAACTTTTTTTAAAAAAACAACAACAACCCATACTCCCCACATTAGTGCAAGAACATCCCCATAGCTTTTTGCTTAACACACCCCTATAACATGCCCTCCAAGTGTCTGTTTTTCAGGGACAGTCCCAGAATTACGAAACCTGTCCCAGCTTCTGATTTGATCCCAGAATGTCCCTGTTTCCCCTGCCAGTGCTGCTGTTGCCAAGCTTGACAAAGAGTATGAGCCAGCACTCATCAAATTTGTAGATGACACCAAACTGGAATGGTTGAGGGAGTTGGGTATGTTTAGCCTGGATAAGAGAAGACTGAGAGGAGATATGGTAGCCATCTTCAAATATCTAAAGGGCTGTTACATGGAAGATGGAGGAAGCTTGTTTGTCCTGCTCTGGAGGGCAGGACCCAAACCAATGGCTTCAAGTTACAAGAAAGGAGCTTCCTACTAAACACCAGAAATAACTTTCTGACAGTAAGAGCTGTTTGAAAGTGGATCAGACTCCTTCGGGAGGTAGTAGACTGTCCTTTCTTGGAGGTTTTTAAGCAGCAGTTGAATGGCCATCTGTCATGTGTGATCTAGTTGAGATTCTCACAATGCAAGTGGTTGCACTAGATGAACCCTTCCAACTCTACAATTCTTATGATTCTATTATTGTTCTCACTCTCTTGCAGCTCCCATTGCCCTTGATCCCTGACCATGCTGGCTGGGGAAGCTGGAGTCCAGCAACCTCTGGTGGGTCAAAGGTTCCCTCCGCCCTGGTTTACTACTGCATTCGCATTTGGGCAACCTTGTGGGAGCCACTTGCCAGTTGTGGGCAAGGCTAGAGGTTGAGATTTAAATGCAAATTTTACCTTTGTGAATCCCAGCAACTGAGAGGCATTATTAGATTCCAAGAATGCACTCCAGCCAAGGGAAAACCATCAATGAGGATTTGAAGTAGGGCTGGTGAAGAGTGTGGCCCAGAGAGAAGGGGTGTGGCTTGGAAAAAGGCCTGGGGGGCAGACAGAAATGACTGCAGGGCCACATTTAACACCCAGCCCAGAAAATTGCCATCTCTGCTTCCAAGGTTAATACTAGCACTTTGAATTGGGTCTGGAGATGTAGTAGAACCCCGGAGGATGTCACAATAGCCTTGGGAAGAGCCACAGCACATTTTGACAACCATTTCCAAGCTCTGACTCATTGACACCAACATTCAGTGGCTGAGAATGGCAACACTATGAATTAGCAGGTATCGCTTTATGGTGGGAGATACATGGCGGTGGCTTGCAGTACACTGTGAAAACAACAGTGGTGATCCCTAATACAAAACAAGGGCAATTAATTTCAACATCCCTTATCTTATCTTGTAGATCTCACAAGCCATTTCCAAGCAGGGTTTCGCCTCTCCATTTCCTATGCGCAGCGCTGCTGCATGGCTATACTTCAAAAATCTATAATTCAAAACTTCCCAACACTGAATACGCTTTCCACGCGGGGTCTTTTCATAATTGGTTTTTCCAACCGGTCTGTTCTGTGATGTGTAATTGTTAGCAGTTGTAAAAAAGATAACTCAGTTTTTAAAAGCCTAGCGTTTGCTCTGAGCAGATAAAAACTGTGACAAATTATGTTCCAAAAAAATCATAAAAGTGGAAAGACATGTTAATAACCAAAGGTGAAGTTTCATTTGGAGGTCAGCAGGAGCTATTAAAGTGGTCAGTAATTCTAGGGCTTGCTAGTAGTGATTTTGACCATATCACTTATCTACTCTGGTCCATGCTTAAAAATCTCCCTTGGTGGAAAAAAATAATAATCCACTGAGAGTAATGCAGGAGGTCAGGGATGACCGTGGAGAAAAGCAATCTAGTCAAAATAAACCATGCTTTCAAGTGCAGACATTCAAATTCCCACTCCATTAAAATGTTTCAACTCTTGGCCATTTCGCCATAGTGTTCAGACACCTCATTTTTTAAAAAATTACTTCAAATATCTGGAGAGAACACATAGCTATAAATGTAATGTGGAATAATTAAGACAGTCCTGGCACCCTTTCTAAGTCCCAAAAGCAATTTGGAAGGAGGGGGGGAGAACCAATGGGAGGCGAAGCCAGCATGCTGCAGAGAAATTAAATAATATTGAGAATCAGGAAATGTGCAACGGCCGCTTCAGGTGGCCTTTGATGATTTCAAGTGAACATCCCAATGATTTCATAAGAACATTAAGGGAAACTCTGCTGGATCAGTTGCTTCTGGTTCAGCATCCTCTTCACACAGTGGCCAACCTGTTGGCTCCAGTAAACCCACAAGGAAGGAATCAAAGCAGGAACCCTCTCCCACTGTTGCCCACACAACTCAGTGGCCAAGCATCTGCTTTGCATGCAGAAGGTCCCTGGTCCAATATCTGGCACCTCCAGGTATGGCTGGGACAGAACTCTGCCTGAAACCCGGAGAGCCACTTCCAGTCATTGTAAGTGATGGACCAAAGATCTGACCCAATGTAGGGTACATATTTGCCTATGATTTCTTTCTTTCTAACTGGTATTCAGTGACACTGTGTGGCAGCTCTGAACTTATAGGTTTCATTGAGCTAAGTTGTGTTCCAGCATTTGCCAGACATTTTGGACTGCAGTCTCCATCATCTCCAACTAGCATGGCTGTGTTGCATTCCAAAATAATACGAGGGCACCAGGATGGTGGAGGCAGCTGTATTCTTATAGCAAACTTATTTTCCATACATAGGCCAAAAGAGCACCATCTACAGAGAAGAAGGCGGTATTAGCAGACTTGGGGAGAACCTACAGTTTGCAGAAGTACAAAAAACTTTTCAAAGCCATCTTAAGCCAGAGGCCATAACCACATCCAGTGGCAGTGAATTCCACAAGTGAATTATCTGTGGAGGTGAAATGTTAATTTCATTTGTCTTTCCTGAATCCTAGTGCCAAACCATTCAGTTGGAGGACCCCAAGTTTTAATTGTATAAGGTGGCAAGAAAAATCTTTCTATTTCTCTCTCTGCTTTCTCCCCACCATGCATAATTCCATTGACCTCTGTTTTATAATACTAAAATGTGGGGATCAGCAAATGCAGCATAGCAGCGGCAGGTTCAAAGCTCAGAAAAGAACTCTGAACATCAGTTTTTTAAAGACAATGTGAGTGCTATTGTTGGCTTCCCATTGGGTGATCTGCTGGGGACTGTGGGAACAGGATATTACTATAGAGAGCCCTATGTTCTGATTAAGCAGTGCTCTTCTTATGCCTTAGCTACCTGGAGCTGTGCTGAGCATCTGCTTGCTCACAAAAGCAATGGGGTGCTGGGAGCTTCAGGAGCACCTCCATGGGGGACCCAAGTAACAGTGGGCCCTGGGGTGTGTGTGTTGGGGTGCACCAAATGCAGCCTTACTCAGCCTCAGTCCCTCCAGAACTGGAGCCAAGCTTGCTGTTTTCCAGCTGCTCACAGAGGAATAAATGTGGCTTTCCACGCTATCTCATGGTGCCTTACTGTTGTTGACTCTTAACTTTTCCAAATACTCTGCATCCTTCCTGTTAAAATTAGATGAGAAAGGTGAAACAAGGGTGAATTGAGTTTCCTCCTTCTCAAACTAAATTTAAGAGTGTAAGCCCACATACACCTTCTCAGAAGTAATTCCTATTGAGTTCCATGGTGCTGGCTCTCAGGTGGCGGATCTGTCCATTTTGGCTTTTCTCGGTTTCTCATTATTCCAGCCTGAGCTGAACTGAATCTAGACCAGCAAATCCTTAGTCATGTGCTTCTGTAGTAAAGTATCTGTCCAGTATATATTATTTCAGCTCCCACTTTATAAAATACTGGTTTCGGTTTAAAGAGGGAAGAGTCAAAGGGGGATGAAATACAGTTAAAACAGGGGGAAAGAAAACCTTTTCAGACCAGAGGCCACATTTCCTTCTGGGCAACCTTCTGGGGGCCACATGCCAGTGGTGCGTGGGGCCAGAAACAAAAGTGGGCAGAGTAATAAATGTATTTTTATTTTTGGAAAATAAGCTAGTTCTACACAGTCTCACATACCCCTTTCTCTCATCCATCTAGGCAAGCAAGATACATTCCTAGTTTATACATTCCATCCAGGCAAAAACACTCAAGGTGGGCGAGAAAGCAAGTCAAGAGGAGACTTGGCCTGGGGAGAATCTGCAAGCCCAATAGAGAGACTTGGAGAGTCACATTTCCATACCCTTCAAGTGTCCCAATTTTCCTGGGATGTCACATAATTACAGAAGCCACCCTGGCTTCTGATTGGATCCCAGAGTGTCCCATTCCTCCCCTCCAGTGCCACTGCTTCTGAGCTTGGGGTGGGTAATGAGCCAGTGCTTGCAAGTGGTGCCATGCTCTCATGTGTCAGCTGGCTCCCGCGAGATCACAGCACTGAAAGATGCGTGACCCAATTTTCATCAGTGGAATGTTGGAGGGTATGCATTTGACCCTCGGGCCTGAAGTTCCCCACCCCTAGGTTGGAGGGGGGGAATGGAGTTAATATAGAGAAGGCACAATTTGTGGAGCAGCGATAAAGAGCTCCCCACCATTGCCTAACAGCCCACAAAAACCTGGAACTGTCCCTGCTTGGTAAATAGAGAAAGTTGGACCATAAGTATTCACATCAAAACCTGGTATGGCCTGCCTCTGGCATCTCATAGCTAAGCATTATCAAGCGACTTAGCACACTGAGTGGAAGGCCCAGTTGCTTTAACACCCCTCTGCTCTCTTTCCTCCCGAGGGGCAAGTGCTCGGCAGAGAAACCTCCACATTACTGACCACAATTGCTGTAATTTGTTAGTCTAATGGGGGAAAGTACCCGGCCCTTTGAAACTGGAAGTATAAAATAATATTGTGTGATATTTTATACAAGCGGTGTTTGTGCTCAGAAGGGCCTCTGGTTGAGTGAGCTCTTCCTTCAGAGAGCCTCTGCAGGCTAGATTAACTCTCCCTTATAAAAGGAGCACTTTATTAATAAATTATATGCCTGCAGTTGCCGTGGAGAGCGGTGTGTGGCAGGAAAGGGGGGCGGGCGGAAACGCAAAACATTTGCATTGCAGTGAAAAGATTGTTGTGTGCGTAATGGAGTTTTTGCTACCTAGGAAGTATTCATAGAGCTAAGCATGGATCATGCCAGAAATTAAAGAAAAAAACACACACATGGGATGGGCCAGCATGTCAATTTCAGATTCTCATCTTTCCAACCTTAAATTCAGTTTTTTGTATTTCCACAGCAATTTACATTTTTTAAAATGCAATTTTGACTAACTTACACATCCTATAAAGCACTTCCCCCAAATATAATACATGTGTGTATGCTACTTTCACTAATGCCGTAATTTTCACTGATGTGTGTTTTTGCTAGGCACACTCTACTCTTGTTTGATTGGGGGGTTTTGTATACATTATTACTTTGCTGGAGATCTGCATTTCAAAATTCAGAGAAGTGAGAATTTCTAAGGATGGCCATGGTTCAGTTAGCATATTGTATTAGAAAGTGTGACTTGAGTGAGTTATCCTTTAAATGCAGAGTGAATCATAGTTATCTCCAATCCAAACGCTAATACACACACACACACACACACACACACACGTGTCTTCCTAAAAATTTTGAGTTCAGAAATGCATGGCATAAGAGCAGGGCTGGTGCTGATGGGAACTGGAGTCCAACAACATATTCAGAGCCAAAGGTTCCCCATTCTTGACACAAAGTGTGGTATGCCCCCCTCCCAAAAAAAAATTCCTGTTTTTTAAAATTCTATTACAAGTGGGACCTGGAACAAAATATCTCTTGTCCCTTTCCAAGATACTCCATTCAATTCCTTATTCCCCTGGAAAGAAATCAGTGCCCCTGAAAGGGACATTCAGAGCTCTAAGAACAGAGTCGCATGGCATAGCATTTGATATGTTTGGTTCTGCGCTGCTGAGGTGGGGCAGAGGTGGCGGGGGAGAGAGAGGGAGACAGAAACAAATGAAATTAAAAGAAATCAATCTTGCCTCACCGGTGATCAATAGTAATAACAAAAGTGAGTGTTTGGAAAGCAGGCTCATGTTTTATTATAATAGGGAATGTAAGATCTATATGAAATTAATGCTTTTTTAACAAAAAAAAAGAGCCCATACTTGCCCGACAATGAGAGATAAAGTTTAATGGTTACAGTGTGATTACTCAGTTATTGGAACAGCCAGGAGTCTGTTGAATAAAATTGAGAAAGTAGAGTTTGGTAGCTTTTTTAAAAAGAAAAAATATGGGAAGGAATGACTGCAGATGTTTGATGGAAAGTGTTTTAAGATATCCGAAAATGAGTGGAAGAGATTGGCTGCTTGGGGAGAGGGGTGCAAAAGAGAAGGAAGAGGTATATAGAGGCAGAGATTCCTAAGTGATAGATTATACATTGTCATACCATATTTGATGTCTTAACTGGGAAAATGTGTAGCTGAGCCAAATGTGAATTAAGCCGCTATGTTCTCAATCTCTTTGCAGGTTGCTAAGCTTAGTTCAGGCTCAGGTGTTTCAAAGTTCAAACACAGCTTATCCACTTTGTGTTTGAATAACAAGCTGAACAGGAAAGATATTTCCTCTAAGGCAGCAGGCTGGTGCTCTGCCTCTCCCTGCCCCTCCCCAATCCACAGCAGGCTTTTCACAAGGCAAAGCAAGAAAAGATGCGAGGGATGAAGAGGAAGTCTTTCTCGTGGGATCTTGCATCAAGACTGCAGTCAGAAGCCTCAGACTGTTTGATGGAAATGAAGGGAGAAGAGCCAAGGACAGGCTTCTAGGAAGTCTGTTCCCGTGCTTACACACACACACACACACACACACACACACACTCCCCCCCAAAAAACCCTCTCCCCCACTCAGTTATCATTACACAGAAGAAATAACATAATCACCATTATCATTATCATTTTTGAACGGGCCCAAGAAACTTTACTGCAAGAAACATAGCAACCCCACCACCACCACTCTAAATCCATAATACCCAAGGCCAGAGCTAAGTTATTTGGCACCAGAAGCAGAAAAGCCCACTAACACCTCCCCCCTTCCTTGCAGTAAAAAATGTAGTAACAATGACTTGTATTGCTCATCAAATTTGCAGATGACACTGAACTGGAATGGTTGAGGGAGTTGGGTATGTTTAGCCTGGATAAGGGGAGATTGAGAGGAGATATGATAGTTATCTTCAAATATCTAAAGGGCTGACACATGGAAGATGGAGAAAGCTTGTTTTCTCCTGCTCTGGAGGATAAGACTTGAAACCAGTGGCTTTAAATTACAAGAAATGGGATTCCAACTAAATATAAAGAAAAACTTTCTAACAGTAAGAGCTGTTTGACAGTGGAACAGACTCCTTCAGGAGGTTGTGGACTCCCCTTCAATGGATTTTTTTTTTAAAAAAAGCTGCTTTGGAAGTTTTTAAGGTTGGGTGGTCATCTGTTATGTATGATCTTGTTGAGAGTCCTGCATTGCAGGGGGCTGTATTAAATGAGCCTCAGGGTCCCTTCCAACTCTACATTTCTATGATTCTGTGAAATAACAAGGCATTTGCTTCCTTTCACATTCCCATTCTGCTGTCTGAAGCAGCTGTCTTACTTTGCTCAATGGTAGGGATGGTCCTTCCCTGGCAAAATGAATCCCTGGTCTTTTGATATGACTGAAGAAACCAGAAGCAGTGACAAAAATAGAACAGAGAATTGGGAGGGAGAGTTTTTAACCTCAGATCAGCCCGCGAACTTTGGGTAGGGCTGCTACATTTATTACACCTTGATAACAATACATTGGATATGGCGTTTTCATATTCATGCGTGTGTTTGTGTGTGTTTGTGTGTGTTTGTGTGTGTGTGTGTGTGCGCGCGCGAATGAATTATTGGGCCTGTATTGTAGATGGGGGAGCTGAGTCTGAGTGATGCAGGTCCCCTGTCTACATCTGTTGAATTCATGACATGAATATTTGAACTGCTCACTTTCTGCTTCACGGTATGTTTTCTGAGCCACTATACATTTTTTAAATTTGATGCTCAATTTGTCATAGCATCATGTGGATATGAGGTCATGGTCTGTGGACATAAGTTGCACCCACTTAGCTGGAGCTAAGCAGGTCTGGTCTGGGCGCGTTCAGACTGCAAACCTCCTGTAAACTGCCTGGAGTTCTTACATGGGAGAAATATAGGATATAAATGTCCTAAATAATAATAATAATAATTTTATTATTTATACCCCACCCTTCTGGCTGGGTTTCCCCAGCCACTCAAATAAATAAATAAGATTTCAGTTGAGGTCTTTCAGATGCTTCACTGGGTCAATCAGGTCATACCCCACTGTTATCCTGTCTGTATTTCTACCAGGGTTCACCTTCCACCCATTTGTAGAAAAGCTCAGAAGATTATTCCCCAATCAAATCTATATGTGTGAACATTCATTTTTTTCCCACCTTTGTGGCTCTGGAAGTTTGGAGCCCTTGTGGCAAAGAGAAATTTAGGACAAGATAGCAGTGAAGGCCCATGCATTTGGCACATTGAGAGCAGGGACTAGCTAGGACTGAGATGAAATTTTGGATATTTTGCTTGCGAGGCAAAGAACAAGATGGAGCTCCCTCCTCATTCCACATACTGGCAATTGCACAGTCCTGGGTGGGAGGTTCATGCACTCCCCCTCCCCAGCTTCTGCTGCCTGAGGCAGCTGCCTCACTTTGCCAAATGGTCGGGCTGGTCTGCATGATAAGTATATATAACACATATATGTTTGTACCCTTTTAAATCAGTATGGGTACGTTAGTTTTCAAGTTACACTGTTCAAAAATACTCATGAATTTGGCTTTGAATAATCTTCTGGCCTTTTAAAAGCCAAAGTGGAAGCTCTCTAATTTCAAACCATGTACTATTCACAAGTCTGTGCATTTACCGGTACATCTGCCATCTTAAAATATGGACTGACCAGCCATTCCCCAGATCAGTGGGGCAAAATGAGTGCTACCTCAAGGAACTCACAGTTATGAATTCATTGTATCTGTTATCATTTGTTTAACCTTTATTGGTAACTAAAAAGTTGGAAAACAGGTCACTAATGCTTTATGCTCATACCTTTTTATTACCTTCAGTTTTTATAGCAGAGCTGACACACATTATAGCACACATATTCATTAAATTTCTACAAAACAGTTCTGGCAATATAAACAGTCCATAAAAATTACAGATTAAGATAAGGCTTGGCAGGCTTCAAAGGGTAGGAGATTCCAGAAGTGCAGCATCTCTGGGAAGGCTTGATTGATGTGATATGTGGGAGCCGCTGGGCAATCTGCTTTCCAGTAGCAAGTAACCCAGCAGGTCCTACTGACATGGTTTCTTCCATGCGCAGCCATGTTGGGAAGGCCTGTAAACACATGCTTTGCATGCAAAAGGTTTAATTTCTGGCACATCTGCAAAGGAAGAGGAAAGAGTCCTGTCTAAAATGATGGGGAGCTCCTAGTTATTGTAGACAATGCCGACTAGATGGATCCAATGGTCTGTGTAGATATAAGGCAGCTTTCTTCGTGAGTACAGATGAGGCCCTCCAGGAGTGAGCCAGCAATAAATCACACCAAGAAGTTGGAGCTAACTTTTTATTAGCAAGAATGTGATCTGCAAAGACTTCATGGAGTGCCAGGCCTAATGAGCATAGCAGTTCATCCCCCGGTAGGTCTTGCCCCACGGATCAGTTACCGAGACTGAAAATCCCTGCTTCCCCACAGCCATCTAAGTTCCCCCCTCTTCAGGGTTTTCCCCAAGTAATCAGAGAGTGTTGTTGACCCACCACCACTCCCCAGGCTCTGAGTCTTCTTCCCTTGGTGGCTCCCCAGCTCCCCACCATTGCTCTGTGTCCAGCCAGTTCATGACATCTGGCAACATTCTCAAATTCAACCAGTGCAAAGATGTGCACGATTTCGGGATGAACAAATCTGTCAATTGTTGTTTCTGTCATAGTTTCTCATCCCCCCCCCATTTTAATTTCTGTTTATCCCACTTCTGCATTAGTTGTTGTTGTTTTTAAAGTGTCTAAGTAAAAACCCATATGGGCAGCGACCATTTTGTTCATGGCTTTCACTCCTGACCCCTGCGCATGTTGGCAGGGTGTGCATAAGCCCACCTGGCCCCTACCCGGCCCCACTTTTGGGCCACTTCACAGTTGGCAACGAGCATGTGCATGTGCTGCCTGTAAAAGCTGTTTTGTCCATTTCTCTTAATATGCACATTTTTACAAACAATTTTCCCTACAATGCTTTTTGCATATTTCCCCACTAAAATGCATTTTCCTCACATACATTTCCCCAATACTTGCTTTTTAGTACACCTTTTTGTTGGAGAACTGCATTGCAAAATTCAGAGAAGTGTGAATTTTACAGAGTAGCTGCATTTCTATTTGAACATTAGTTTTGGGAAGTACAAATTGTGTAATGAATTTTTCTCTTAGCTCTAGATGATTTAAGAAATGTAATAATTTCATGACAAGATTCCTGCCCCTCCAAAAAACAAACAAAAAACAAAACCTTAAATAAAATGGGAATAAATGTATTTTAGGAGTCTTTATTAGCTGGGCTAGCTGTCCGAAGAATTTGTTTCTCTCATTTGGTTGTACTTCATGTAACCTCACAATCACACACAGTTATCTCTATGCTGTATCAGCCTTAAAGATTAGGAATATGGATTTGTTTTCCAGACTGACCGTCTGACTTAGTGACCTTAGGCTGTTCACTAACACAGAAAGGCCTGTGACATGACTTTTGTCAAAAACCACCATTAGCCCAATCCCCTTACAGGAAATAGAAGCTCTATGAGGAGGGATAAACTGTTAATGGGAAATCACATGGCTTGAACATGCCACAAATAGGTATATAAGCATCCTGCCCATTGCCTATCATCAGTTACCAGATGGTAAAAAAGCAGCTAAGACAGCAATTATATTTGATCCTTTAAGGACTTGTTTACACAATTGGCTATCCTCTACCAGCAATCCTTTAATTCCCTCCAATCTCTGATTTTTGTTTGCATGTTCAAATGGTTAGTCAGGACCGAGCATGAGAGAGGAAATGTTTCTGGAATCCTTGGCTGTTTGGTTTCAGGATGCAGTCTCCTTCAGATCTGGAGTGAAAGATTTATCTTGAGGATTCACCAGCTCAGGGTGCTTCTCGTAGGTTCTTAGGTGCACCCACAGGATACAGAGGGCACCAAGGAAGATACCGTATTTTTCGCTCTATAACACGCACCCGACCATAACACACACATAGTTTTTAGAGGAGGAAAACAAGAAAATAAAAAATTATAATGAAACAGTGGATGTATGATTTTTGTGGTTCATGCTGTGGCCACAGACATGTGATCTGACGGTGAGTTTGGGGTAGCCCAATGCAAAAATCCTGAGGATCCATGTGGATCCGTGCTTTGTAACTACATTTTAGGTGGGGAGGGAAGGAAAAGCGCTCAACGGACAAGGAGCACACGAGGGGTGTGTGGAGAAGGATGCTGCTAATAATGCAGAAGAGGGGTATAAGAGGAGAAGGCTCCTCTCCTCTCCCGCTTTGCTCCTTTAAAGCAAGCAGGCTCCCTGTCCCTCTCTCCTCCCCACTCAGCGGCTCTTCTCCTGCTTTGCTGTTTCAAAGCGAGCCACAGAGGAGGGAAGAGGAACCATGGATCCCCTGCTCACGACTGCAGCAGATCCCCCCGCCATCCATAGGCATTCGCTCCATAACACACACAGACATTTCCCCTTTCTAGGAGGGAAAAAGTGAGTGTTATGGTGCAAAAAATACGGTATATCAAATTGTTGCTGAGCAGTGCCTAATGCTCTCCCCCCAGTGACTTTTAGGTTGACTGGTATAAAAAGGTGTGAAGTTAGTACCAGGTCCAGGCAACATGGCCAATGGTCAGGGGTTCTGTGAGTTGGAGTCCAATTTCTAGAAGGCCACAGGTTTCCATTGCTGCTCAATTGCATGGCAATGGATCCAGTACATCATAGACTGAGACACAAGGAGCAGCTCCCATCCCAGTGTAGTAGTAACATATGTATATTACAACAGGTTTGTGGGTGTTGGCACAAGATGTCCGCCATTGGTGGCAATGTTGCCCTTACTCTGTACCAGTGAGTACTGTTACAGAAAAACACAACCCTGTATATTGCACCTAAGTTGTGAAAGAACCATAGTACACAGAAGCCAGAAATGGAGAATTTGTGGCCAGATGTTGCAAACCTCTGCAACCCATGGGTCTCTGTTTTGCTGGGTCACCTTCCAGTAATGTGTTTAATTTTTTCTCCAATGTTTTTGTTTCTTTCCATAGCCAAGCCTCCTGCGAAAGCATAGACAGTATTGCAATATACTTTTTTCTCTTCACTGTATATCATCTAATGACTTGTATTTCTTTCCAGTTTCCCCACACCCATCTACCCACCTACATTCACTATGCAAAGACTTCAGTGCTCTTTCTGTCAAACTGAAAGATTAATGCTAGGATAGAGCACTCATGAGCAACCACACAAGCAAAAAAATGGTGTGTCTGCTATGAAGAATGACTGATGGGATTAATAAAGCTGGAGGTGCTTTGGATTACATATGTTCTCCCCTCCTCATTTCCTCCATTGTTCTAAATAATGAGGAACTTTGGTTTCAATTACTGAAGTGAGAAGGGAACCCTCTGACAGTGTTCTCTGACTCCCATGTGACACTTTTCATATAGTTTTTTTGTTGTGCGCCATCACAATCTCTGAGAAGTGCGAGATTCCAGGTGCTTACCCAGGGTTTGTGTTTTGTTTGGGAAAGGAGGCACAGCAGTGACTCCAGTGGTGTCTAGCAGTGGTGTCTAGATGATAAATGGTTTATTTACACATATATACAACCTGAACCTATGATGGAGTTCACAGCATCAACACCCCAAGAGGATCTTGTTTCTCCCATAGCCACAGCCTTGAATTCAAGCAGAGATCCAGTATGGCACACTCTCTTTGCTTGTTGCTTTGCTTCTAGCTCACATCACTGTAGACTCTCCACTCCAAACTCTGGCTTTGTCCTTCTCGCTATCGGTGAGTTGAGGGAGGGGCCCAACCATTTGCCATTTTACACAAAGCCATTTAATCTCCAGTCACCTCACCAGGAAGCTAGTTTGGCTATTTCCAGGAATTAGAACGCTTGATTAGCTTTTAATACTTCCTGGATCCAGGGATTAGAGGGGTCTGACACCACTAGCACTGCACTCATAACAGGATAGGCCAAGAGGGGGGAATTTCTGGCCGCCTGAATATTGCTGAATGACAGCTCCCACCCCTAACCAGCACGACCAATGACCAAGGATTATAGCTTAGCAACATCTGGAGAGTCAAAGGTTTCCATCATCAGATAGCCAGAGCTCATAAGATTGTAGCCTCTTATTGTAGCCAGTATGGTGTTAGGACTGGGGTGTTCAATTAAAACAGGAGAATTCTCAGTGTAAATTCTCTTCTGTCTATCAAGCCAATAATGCTGGACTCCCATCATTTTGCTATATGCCCTGGGGCTTAACCTGCCTCAGAGGGCAGGGTCAGGTAGAGTTTAGAGTGAAGCCATGCAAAGTGTCCTGTGGGTTCCCCTCCTGTTTGCCTGGCTATCTACTTGTTCCTGAAGCTATGGGAATGAAGGGAGCGGGTGCTAGCTGTAATTCACATGACCAAACAAAATCCCTTTTATTTTCCCAAGTCTTTTAATTATTATTATTTATTAAATTTCTGTACTACCCTTTATCTGAAGATCTCAGAGCAGTTTACAGTATAAAAACGCAAAAAGATTTGCCATAGTAACAATGGTTACTAACAGTTTTACTCCATAACAAATTGGTTTTATGTTGCTTTTATATATAGTTTTTAAGAATGCAATTGTTTTAATGTTATCCTTTTACTTGGTGTGTTGCTTTTTTTCATCCTGTGCAGCCACCTGGGAAAAAAATAATTTGAAGGGCAGGATGCACAGAGTACACAAAGATAGGAAATAATTTTAGACGGGGGACATTCCCAGTTCTACCAGGGATTGAACATGAGACCTTCTGCATGCAAAGCAGATTTTCTTACCACTGAGCTACAGCCCTTCCAAATGTCTTGCCTTGACAGGAAAAGTACAGTCTTGTGCTGATGAGGAAGGTTGCCATTAACTGAAACACTGGGTACGTTATTGTTTAATTAGGACTCCTATTATTTGGTAAATATATTTTTCTGTACAAATTTGAGTTTTGTTCATTAGATTGCTCTGGCATAACCTCCTCAGCAAAATATAATTGTTTTTAAACTAATTAGCAGTATCTTCCCTTCCTTTGCTCTAAAAAGGGACAGACTCAAGGGCCTGTTTTCATGATTGTTTGTTCACCGTTGGTCACCTTCCTCCCTTCCCTGATTGTATTTTATCAGATAATTTCCTTTGGGGAAGTACGCTGGTGGTTGTTCCTTGTAAATTAAATACATCGTGTATGTTGTGATTTTCCAAGGGTTACTTTGTGTTGGCATTTGCAGAAATTAATACAGAGAATCTTACGGTTGTTTAAATTGAGAGTTTGCTGCTGGTGAAGAGAATTCTGTTAGGTACATCATCTCTGAAGAAACCTGGAAAATTCCTTCTGTTCCCTTTCTGGAAAGTACTTTGTGGATGAGAAACTTTCTGGTATCTATTTGATGTCAACTTGTTCACAATCATAACATTCCATGCTGCCTGAGCAGATTCAGGTACAGGTACGCAACAGGCTAGCAGTGCAAGTCCATGGGGAATCTTAGGTCCAGGCGCCAAATGTGGCCCTGCAGATCTCTCTATTTTTCCCTCGGAACTTTCCCAGGCCACACCACTCGGCCCTGAGTATTTTGCCAGGCTGGAATGTGTCCTTGAACTCTGATAATGTCTCTTGCTTGCCTGGATGGAGGACAGAGGTGGCGGGTGCGAGTGTGTGCAGAAGCTAGCCTACTGTACTAAAGTAAAATGTAAACTCCTTGTACTGCTCTTCCCATCCCTGATGGTTATCGAGAAGTGAATGCAGCCCTCAGACTGGAAAATGTTCCCCACTTATGCCGTGTATGTTTACTCAGATGTAAGGCCCATGATACTCAGTGGGACTTACTGCCACTTAACTGCCGCCTTCATATGTCTGCCAGTTGTTCTGCAGCCATCACCTTTGCAGCCAGCCACAGCCCCCACCAAGTCAGTGTGTGAAATATCTCTTTTGCACCTGCAACATACTATCCCTGCTTATGTGTTTTTGCTTTGCCTGGTTCTTTCCCTGCTGTTTCCACTCTGATGTAATCTTTCACAGGACTGGCAGGCCTCGACGGACAACAGTTTGAGATATCTATTAATATTTCAACATGCTTTTAAGAAAATTTGGCCTTTTGTAGCTCAGGTCTTGGAGCAGACATATATAATGGTTAGTGATAGACATTACACGTTGAGTAGCTATTCCGTAGGTATGTTTCTATTGTTCCAAGTTACTTTTTAACATCTTTTATTTTTTTTAAAAAAGAGTTATTTGTTTGCCTGCCTACAATGAATGAATCTGTTTGTGATCAGGAGAAATACTCATTTTCTCAATACAAGACTGTCATTTTTAAATAAAATAAAATAAGTACGTATAGATTTAAGTATGGAGTGAGCCCTTTGCTCTGCTTAGAGCTTATAGTCTGTTCCCTGAATTTAGCAAAGAGCATCTGTAGGTAAAAGATAATCCCAAGGGTTTATCTATCCTACTGCTAGCTCCAGAGAGGTGATAGGATTACTCATTAAAAGGATAGCTATTTAACCCTTTTTAATTAATTTTAGAGGGGGGTAGGAGCTCCTCCATTTACCTGCAAAACTTCCCCTTCCTCTCCCAGCCTTTCAGCATAATACTTTCTTGAAGGAGCCATTTGCTTTGCATAAATGTAAAGTAATGTGTGTCATGACTAGGGACTTTTATATAGCGAATGTTATCTTTCTCAGCCAAGAAATAAGATTTTATAGTCATACAAAAGAGAGCTTGCAGTATATTAATAGGAATCTATAAATTAATCTCTGTATAACACCTTGTGAACACTCTGATTTTTATAGAGACTCTGAGCTGAACCCTTTACTGACTATTTTTTCCTTTATTGTGTTCATTAAGGGAATACAGCACATCAGGACCAAATATCGGCACATCTAATAAAGCACTAGAGAGAATTAAGTGGGCAGTTGGTACGGTATTGTTTTCTCTAATCAGAAATATAGCTGTACAGCTTTTGATTAATCTTCCATCCTGTCCCGATAAACCAATGAACTGGCTGTTAATAGCACTCAGAGCAATGCATTTTAAGCCACTTATGAGATTAATTGAATTAATGTTTTAATTATTTGAAGCATTTTTTGAATGATATCGGTGCCATCACAGCACTCTGCATGCATGCAGCCTTGGGGAAATTGAAAGTATATCTCTACATTTATCACATTTGTTAGATGGGAAGAAAAAAGTAGATAAGTTATGGATATCTGTAATCCACTTACCAAATGTTTTAAGGACTCCTGACAAGGGGTGTAAATTTCAAAAATTTCTCTAGGATTATTGTGTTTAATGCCTGTGGCAGGCCAAGTTCCTCATTAATGGATGTATCTCATGAGCACATTCTTTGTTGCTTATTTCTGCCTGCTATTTCAGCCTTGTTTCAAAGTGCAAACTTAGCAGAGGCAGGAAGAAGCTGCGTGCAGGCGAATTCTTGAATTTCACCTGGTTTGGTACAGCAGGAACAGAGTTCACTGTTCCTCCTCTGTGCCTCACATGGAAATGCAAAAAGGAAGATGGCACCCTGCCCTCTAGCTCCCAGCTGGCTAGTATTTTTCTTTTAGTGGGGAGAGGGTGGGCTAGTAACTTTTGTGAATTTATTTACAAGGCTGAATGCATTACAGTTTTGGCTGTGATCTGACAGGTTTGTGGGGATTAGGATTTAAGACACTTGCTCCTTTCAAACATTGTCTGAACGCATGCATTGTTATGCTGATCATTAGGGGGAGACGGTGTGTGTGTGTGTGTGCGCGCGCGCAGGGTGTAGGATTGCATATGTCCAACTTCCACATTTTCATTTTTAGATCTGAGAAGACTCCCTGCTTATAGAACTGGTAAGGCTCTTGCTGCATGATTAGGGTGACCATACTTTGTCTATTTGGAAAGGATGTCACAGAAAATCCCTCTATTTCAAAGTGCCCTCTATTTGAGAGCTGCCCATTCCAAGTCCAGTTTAAAGATAAGAACCATAGGTGTCTGCTAACTTGCCCATCAATGGTTAGCAGCACCTTGTCGGCAGCAACAAATCACCTGGAGTCTTCCCTGTTATGATGAGATATATTGTAATTATTTTACATTAGAGGTGGTTTTTAAACAGGAAAATTTGGGTCTTTACCAAAAAAAAAATTGATTATGCAGATCCTCTTTTTTCTTTTGGCAATCTGCAACTGACCACCCTATGTGTGATTGGCACTGATCACACAGAGAGGAACCCCGCACATGGGTTGTTCTGTATGCAGGGGTCCTTCTCAGCTCTAACCACAGGCATGGAGGCTCTGCGGCTCTCCAGCTGCTGAAGGACCACAACTTCCATCATCCCTGACCAGCACTGATGAGAATTGGGAGTCAAACAACTAGAGAGTCATGGGAGTTTTCCATCAATGTCTTAAAGCGAATACATGGAAGCTGAGCAAGAGCAACTCCACTTTTGGAGTAGGGTAGAGTGTTGATCCGCATGACTCCCTTGTCCTCTTCCAGTCCTCTGATTTTAACACACAGGAATCTGCCTTATACTGAATCCGACCCATTGGTCCCATCTAGCTCAGTGCTGTCAACACTTAACTGGCAATGGATCTCCAGGGTTTCAGGCACTAGTTATCCTAGCCCTACTTAGGGACTGAACCCAGGGAGCGTCTGTATTCTTGAAGCCATTATTCAAGTGAAATCTCTCTCTTTTTATCTCCAACAGGTCACTTCTTTGGCTTTTTGCTTGTGCAGTGTTCTAATTCATACTATTCTGGGAGCGCAGAGACAAAAAGAGAGAAAGAGGACAAATCTCACCCTAATTGTCACTTGTGCCCCCCCCCCCCATGTCTGGCTGTAATGAAAGTCACAACCATTATGAGTCATTATTTCCTTTGTCTCCTGCTACTGCTTACAGCTGCAAGTTTGTCCTCTTGTTTGGGACATAGATTAGAAGCTGCTTGTGGTCTGTGCCTAGGTGCTTGGTTGAGGCTTTGGCTCTCAAGGGAGATGTGACCTTTATTATAATTAATCGCAGTGCTCTCTGACCAATTAAAAAACAACTTTCAGAGCCAGAGTGGTGAAACGTTGGGTAAGGATCAGGGAGACCCAGGTTAAAATCTCCACTCAGTCATGATATTTACTGGGTTACCACTCCCAGCGTAACCTATTTCTCAGTGTTGTGAGGAACACTGAAGGGACAAAAAGAAGAAGTGGGATACTTGTTTCCATCTGCAGGATACACTCAAGAGATATCATTGGGTTGAAAGCTATAAACTGCTTGCTCTTGAAAACCCCGGCAAGTAAGAATCCAGACTGTGCCTGTTTTCCACCTCCTCCATTTACAGTGGTACCTTGGTTCTCAAACTTAATCCATTCTGGAAGTCTGTTCTAAAACCAAAGCGTTCCAAAACCAAGGCACACTTTCCCATAGAAAGTAATGCAAAATGGATTAATCCATTCCAAACTTTTAAAAACAACCCCTAAAACAGCAAGTTAACATGAATTCTACTACCTAATGAGACCATTGAGCCATAAAATGAAAGCAATAAACAATGTACTGCAGTCACACAATCAATCAATCAGTAGCTGAACTGGGTTCCACACACTCACAAAAACAAAACAAAAAGAGCCACAAAAATGCAAAATAAATAGCAAAAACAGACAGACCTCAGTGTAACACTCAAAACAGAAGTGTGGCACTCAAAATGGAGCATGTTCGGCTTCCAAAAAAAGCTTGCAAACCGAAACACTTACTTCTGGGTTTGCAGTGTTTGGGTTCCAAGTTGTTTGTGAACCAAGGTACCACTGTACATTTATTTTACACTTTCTAAAAAGCTTCGTAGTTTTATTGTGAGTTTTTATAACATAAATTATCCCTGCTCAACAAGAGTGGACCTACAGGTGTCAGCACTTATGGTTCAGTTCTATGTGTGATTCAACACTGCATAACACTTTACTTGGACCCCTTCTGAGTTTGATAGGGCTGGTTCATAAGCAAGTGAGACTAAAAAGTACTCCACTGTGAGTCTTGCATCAGAGTCATTTCAGAGCCATGGGTGACATTAGTGAGGATAGCTGCCGTGTATTGAGGCAGATTATTGATCCATCTAGCTGAGTACTTTCTATGCTGACTGGTAGCAGCTTTCCAGGATTTCAGATGGGGACATTCCCATTCCCACTTGGAGATGCTAGTAATTGAACCTGGGGCCTTCTGCATGCCAAGCAGATGCTCTCCTACTGAGCTACATCCCTTTATTCCAGCCTTCATTGCTCTCAATAAAGGACCAGCTTAAATAGGGACATAGGGAGCTGCTTATACTAAGCATGGCCATTGGTCTGTGTAGCTCAGTACTGTCTACACTGACTGGTAGCAGTTTCCCAAGATTTCAGACAGGAGACATTCCCAGACCTATCTGGAGATGCTGGGGGTAGAACCAGGAACCTCCTGCATACAATGAGATAAGATGCCTTGGATGAGGGTGAGGCAACATCCTTTCGAAGGAGAGGTGGTCTTGCCAAATTCTCAAGTTCTGCGGAATTTCACTTCCTATTAAGAAATGGTTGTTTTAGTTATCAGCTAGATGGAAAGTCATATGCTTTAATAATCAACTTTCCCCCCACAGAATCAGAGAATTGTAGAGTCTGAAGGGACCCCAAGGGTCATCTAGTTCAACCCCTTGCAATGTAAGAATCTCAGCTAGATCACATCTGACAGAAGGCCATTCAACCTCTGCTAAAAAACCTCCAAGAAAGGACAGTCTACTACATCCCCCAGGGAATCTGATCCACTGTCAAACAGCTCTTACTGTCAGAAAGTTCTTCCTGATGTATAGTCGGAATCTCCTTTCTTGTAACTTGATGTCCGGAAAAGGAAAGTGAAATCGGAGCAGAAAGCTGGGTAGGCACTGACCGTGGTGCAAGGCTCTCTCCACAGCTTTCTGCTTGTCACACTTCCTGGAATGTTTTGGGGCCTTTGTTAAGAGAGGCGGTGCATGAAGAAGGTGCAGCTGACAGGAAGCACAGGAAAGAGCCTTGTACACACTTCCCAGAATGCCTTGGGAGCATCATGATGCATCATCACTTGCATTCCAAGAAGTGCAGCTTGCAGAAAGCTGCGGAAGGAGGCACCCACTTTTGTGAGTGGTGTGGGGCTTTTCTTTTTAAGTTTTAAAAGCAAGGGGGGAAATGGAAACCCCTTTGAGCACTTCATGGTAAGGCAAAGAGCAAACTGCTCCTGCAAATTTTGGAGAAATTTCTTTCCTTGCATGTTACTTTTCAGGAAGGCTTGTTTTGCCTCCACCAATCTGAATTTTCAAAGTTTTCAACCCAGCTCTGTGATAAATCAGAGTGCCTTTTTTACATCTAAAACGAGGAACTCTGGTTTAATGTCAATTTGTTAATCAGGATCTTAATGTTTGGTTTGTTCCTGCTTTAACATCCTGGATAGTTAGCTGACACAAAACTGGAGTTCCCCATTTTGGACATAATGGAGGGACTCTGGTTTAATCAGTCAAGGCCTGAAGTGCTTAAGTCAGCATGTAAAGCGAGGAGATATAGGGAAGGTTTAGCTCAGCCTTTCCCAGCCTGGGGTCCTCCAGATGTTTTGGGCTACTACTCCTAGTCAGCATAGCCAATAGTTAGGATGATGGGAGTTTTAGTAAAACACATCTGGGGAGCACCAATTTGAAGCTAGTTTTGCTAGGTGGCATCATGACATCTGAACCATCAAGAATTCTGTCATGGTGCCAGTATGCTTTTAAAATCGATTTTATTTAAACCAGAAATAGGAAAACTGTGGCCCTCCAGATGTTACTGGCTTACAACTCCCATCACCCCTGAGCATTAGCCATGCTGTCTGCAGCTATGAGTTGGAGTCCAACAACATTTGGAGGGACACAGGCTCCCCATCCCTGGTTTTCTTTTTTTTTGGGGGGGTGACATTAGGAAGGTCAGAAACTCAATAGCAGAACAGAATTCATTTCAACATATTCTGTTGCTTCACCTTCCATTGTGATACTTGACGAATGGCAATGGTAATGGGTGCTTTCTTTGTATATTCCTTTTTTTTTACAAAATTAACAAATACGTTCTGTTTTTTCTGCATATTTCTAGATTGCATTTAACTTACTTCAAAAGGCATGGGAAATTTTTGCATTGTTACATACATGCATGATAATGAAACCCTTTAGAAACCAAACTATCAGTTAAGATGGCACATTCTTCTGTTGTTGTTTTTCTGCTGTTAACTGGTGTTTTAGTTTGTAAGGCCCATCAGCTTTACATGTGGGCAGGCTCCGCCCATAATTCATTCTGCAAATGATCACTCTCATTTTCTGCACTCTGCCGTCTGTCTTGGTGCTGTCTTGAAAACCCCTTGAGCACCTTGGCTGGGCTTCTCTGTATGTGCAGAAGGCAAGCGTGCTGCCTACTGGGTGCCTGGCTAAAGTTTCTTTTTTAAGTGAAGTGTACTTTTGCCATCTCTCCTCCTTCCCCTGGTGATTCCAGTGAATTCTGCTCCCTCTTTCCCAGCCCACAGACAAGGCAGAGAATTTCAGGAGACCATTTGTGCACAGCCCTTGTAACAACAGCAACCTATCCCATTTTTAAATATGGGGGTGGGGGTGAGACTTTTGTTTCCTTATAGTTTAGACCCAACTTTTAATCTGCTAGACCTTCACACCAAAGATAAAGGAAAGAGTCATTCTGAGGGCTCTTGTCTCCTTAATTTTCACAGTAGGTTCCTAGAAACTTACTGCTCACAGGTGGCTCTGCAATTGTGACACATTGGGAAAATTGAGTCTTCAATGGGACTTTGATTCATACTTCCACCTGTGTGCCTTGATGGCCAGGTTAGTGCTCTGGGCTGCAATACAAAACATGACAATCCCGGCTGCTTAGTCCTAGCCCCTGATTGCCTTCCTTGCTGTTTCATTTATCAGGCATGTGCTTCTTTTATTCTGTGCCTTTCTCTATGATAACAAGAGGGACAAAATAGACAAAGGCTCTGCAGTCCTAACTTCTCTTACTTTGCAGTAAGTCCTGTTGAATTCAATAGGACCTACTTATGAGCAGACATGGCTAAGCTTGCAGTTAGTGAAACAGGCACACCCTTCCACACCTCCAAACAATCCACGAGAGCCTTGGCAACTTATTATGCATGTGGTGCCACCAATGTGCATGGGGTTTTCAGAGCTCAAGGGAACAGACCTCCTTCACCAAGGAGCTTGCAATCTGGAATTTTCCATGTGGGGAACAAGAAAGCAGAGGGGAAAGGGGAGGGAGGGATAAACAGGAAAGCAATATGCTGTCTCTTACACTTGGTTACAGGCTGTTCCACTTGCTGTCTCTTACACTTGGTTACAGGCTGGGTTGTAGTAGGACAGGGTTGGGGAATCTGTAGACACTACCAACTTCCACCATCCCTGGCCTTTGACCATGCTGGCATGAACTGATGAGCACTGGAATCCAACAATCATCGAAGAGCCACAGTAGGGGCGGACCTTGGGAATATGCCGCCCTGTGCAAGGCCAACATTTGAAACCCTTCCCCCAGTCCTCGCAGCACCAGCTTAAGCCAGGTAAACAAGGTGCTGGTCTTTGGGAAGGAGGTGCAAGGCTCTGGCAGGATCCTAGAGCCCTTATGGTTCTATTCCAAAGCCCAGTAAGCACTTGCAAAACTTTGGGACGAAGGCAAGAAGACTCTAGGACCCTGTCAGAGCCCTCATGCCTCCTTCCCAAAGCTGGGTAAGCACTTAACAGGCTTTGAGAAGTGCACCCCAGTGCACCCAAACTGCTCACACTGCCCTAAATCCACCTCTGGACTTATCCGTCTCACAACAAAGGCATTGTGGCCAAGGAAGAGCAATTTCACCGCCACCCTCCCCTATGCTCACATTACATGTGAAAGGTCCTTGGCCATACTGGCTGGAACTGATAGGTGTTGGAGTCAAGCAACATCTGGAGGGCCACACTTCTCCTACTCTGTAGCAGGAGCTGACAACTAGGGGGCCCTGCCAAGGCCTTCACTGGAAAGATAGGATTTGAAGGTGGATTTGAAGTGCATAAGAGAGGTGCTGCTGTTCAGGGATCCAGTTTTAAGCAAATGGGGCAGCAAGGGTGGAAGGGTGGAGTCTTTGAGAGAGCAGATGGTGGAGACTGGTGGAACCAGAGCAGATGGTTGAGACTGGTGGAACAGAGAAGCAAAGATCATGGACAGGGATGCCTCCGAATATAAGAAATGCTATGGTCCCTTGTACACAGTCTTTCCTCCATCCATGTGGTGTTTTGCATACTGTAGTCTGCTTGACTTGTTCAGGCTTTACCCTGAAAGGCAAATGAGCTTCAAGCTTTGCACCTCCTGCTGAAAATAGGGCAAGGGGGCAATCAGCCATTAAAAGCAGAACACATTTTAGGAATTTGTATTGGTTCGTGTGGGAGACACAGTTTCTGGACAGAGGGCATTTGTGAATGGAGGAATCTGTACTGAGATAATGTAAGCTTTCACCCACATTCCTACACAGCCCATGCAGATAAAGAAAAGAGAAAACCCAGATATGCATTTCTAACTGAATCTCAGGGAGCCGTTATTTTCTAAAATTTAGCAACCCTATTCCCAACAGTATTCATTAGAATTTTTGATGACCATTTGAAATCTTTCGTGTTTACCTGAAATTATACTAATGTTACTAATAAGAAAAGGTGTAGGTTTTTGGAGAAATGGTTAATTTGTAAATGAAATCAAAGAAAGATCAATATATTTGGGAGAGGGTGGCGAGGACTCAATATGCTATTTTTTAAAAAGCACCATGCATTTATAAAGGTGACACAGTCCTTTAGAGCCCGCTGTTCCAATCCATTGTGTAGCGATACTGACAAAGACTGACAGCTCTTAGAAAGGTATAATGTTCCCAAGCCAATTGCTAGCACAGCTCAATGAGATAAAGATCAGTAATTCGATGGAGGTGAAAGGGCTAAACGTTGGAGGTTAATCTGCTATGTTCTTATTACTAATCAAACTTCCAGCAGTTTATTCTAACAGTATCAGAACCCCATACCAAAAAAAAAAAAAAAAGTATTACAAGGTCTAACATCCTTATTTGCTTTGATGCTTTTTCAAGATGCATGCTTTTTCAAGATCATTTTAACTTGCCAACTACTATCTTTTTAACTGACATGTATTAGCTTGAGTCTTTTCTGGGCAAGGGTTCTGATGTATTAAATTTTTATTTTGTTTTACTTTGGTGCTGGTAATTTAAGCTTAAGCTATGCTTAAGGTATAGAATTCTGTTGAGAAGTTAATGGAGGGGAACACGGACCTCTTGTACAAGGAAACTTTGTTGGACGAGCACCAATGGCATATCAAAATGTAGGCCCCAGAGATAGTAACATTGCAGCTGTTTCTGTCCCAGAACCTCCACCAGCAGTTTCTTCCTGTATCTTAACTTTCCTGTAGATAGAAGCTTATGAAAAGCATCTTGTGAGTTCCAAGGTCTATGTTACTTAACAAAAACAAAAACAAAAAACCTCAACACTTATTTTAAGAGAGTAGGCCTGTGTGCCTTTTCGAAATCACTTTATTAAGGTTTTTCATTATTTGTACAGCAATAAATCAGAATGGAAAAATGAAGGAAATGAAAGAAGGAAAACAGCCTGTAAGCTGAGGACCCTCCTGGCATCTTTTCCCACTGGGTATGGAAGCTAAACATCACCAGCCCCACTGGTGGGAAATGACATGGACCCCTTTCCCCCCCAAGGAACCATCCCTTCCTGCTACCCCAGAAACAGCCAATGTGCTGTCTTCCATATTATGACTCTTGACTCCCATCAGCCCTGATCATTGGCCCTACTGACTGAGCCCCAACAACACCTGGATCACACCATATTGGCTACCCCCATGCTGTCCTTTCCCTTCCCCTCCCTTGGGACCATGATGGGAGAACTGTTGCAAGGGCCTCAGTGTTCAGCTGGAGTGTTTGAGGAACCCAGGTTTTCTTTTGGGGTGAGCAGCCTTCTGCTAACTTAGACTATTTGTCTAGGCTATTTGTCTCTAGGCTATTTGTCTAGCCCAGCTTCTTTCTGGGATCTAAGACAGAGATCCTTTGCACCACCTGCTGCATGATCCTATTTAACTGGAGATGCTTGGGATTGAACCCGGGACCTTCTTCATCCCAAGCATGTGCCCCTGAGGTATCACCTCTCGATGCGCTACAAAGCACCGCGTTGCGTTGGCTCATTGAATATTTTGCTTTGCAATGCTGTTCCTGTTTTCCGCCTGTGTCGTGGCAAGCACCATTGAAACGCTCTCTGCTTTTTCAATGGTTAAATGCCTCAGTTCTCTTGCAGCCTAGTGGGACCCTCTTGGAAAGCTTACCAAAAAAGAAAAAGAAAAAGAAAAACCCAGTCAAGAGAGGAAAAAAAGGAAGCAGAAAGAAGTAGCAGCAGCAGAGCAATGTCTGCTTGACACCACATGAGGGATGTGAATTGTCAATTTGTTGACAGTGTCATGTTGCCACTACCAGCTTTTTTCTCTCAGTGACTTGGAAGGAACTCAAAGTTTCCCAGGCTGAGATTCCTTGTGTTACAGCTTCTGCATGTCCAGAGAAGTCAGGTGCAATTGGTGACAACTTTGCTTTTTATGAGATATGGAAGCTGCTAGTTGTTGTTTTTTAAAAGCATCATTGTTTGGGCTTGGAGCACTAAGGAGAGGGTTGGGGGGGGTGAGAAATGTGAGCTGTGCTGGCAAATGCCTTTTTTTCTGCTCTCTTTAGGCCTCCTGTTCTCTTTGGGGGAAAGGGCATAGCTCAGTCAGAGAGCATCTATGTTGCATGAAGAAGGTCCTGGGTTCAGCCACATGTATCTCCAGGCAGGGCGGGAGATCCTGGTAAGCTGCTGCCAGTCAGTGTAGAATATGTTGAGTTAGATGCACCACTGGTCTGGCTCAGTATTAGGCACTTTCCTAGGTTCTCTTCTCCATCAGATCAGACAAACTGCCAGGGAGGGAACTAGATATTACAGGGTTCCAAAACCTCCAGACTCTAATGTGGGGCTGGGGGAATTGTTGGATGGGGTGGTGGTTAACCCTTTCCTAACCTACTGATTGTTCCCTCAAGTATCTCAGAGCAGTTTTAAGTGGTTATTTCCTCCCTCTTAGCTGGGTTTTGAAACATAAACTGAACCCCAACTTTGGGAAAGCAGCCCCAGGACCATTTACAGGGAGTAAGAGAAGCACTGCTATAGCTGCTGACCTCCTGGCCACTCCTGTTATCTCAGCTGGTGTGGAATTGGTGGCATAAATCTGCCACTTCTTAATTTATTTTTATTCCACCCTTCCTTCAAGAGGGATCATAACTTAGTGGTTCAGCACTTGCTGCCTCTGCAGAAGGCTCCAGGTTCAAATCATGGCACCACCAGTTAATAGGACCAGGTAGGAGGCAAGACCTTTCTCTGCCAGAGACCCTGGAGAGCCACTGCCAGCCAGAGTATTCCTCTGCTCCTAACAACCTAATGCAGATTACTCTTATTTATGGGAGGGACTATTGCTCAAGCACATGACTTATGTCCCTGATTTGGTGCCCAGCTTTTTCAGACAGGAGTGGAAATGCCATTTTTCTAAAACTCTAGAGAGCTGCTGCCAGTCCTAGGAACAGAAGAAGCTGTCAAATCTACTTCAATATTGCCTACTTTGATGGGCAGTGGCTCTCTGTGTTTTGAGGCAGGAATTTATCCCAGCCATACTTGGAATCAACCCTACAGGGTCTGAATCTGGAACCTTCAACATGCAAGGCAGGTGCTCTGCCATTGAGCCACACAGTCCATCTCCAGAGTAGGCAATACAAAACTAGACAGACCTGTGGTCTGATTTGGTATAAGGCAGCTGGAACAGGGGGCAACATGTCTGGTGGTCCACCACCTAACCAGAATAATTTTCATCCTTTTAAAAATAACTTGAAAATACTGTACTTGCATGATGCACAAATGCTGGCAGAAATAGTGTGAGTTGGTGTGTTTTTTTTACTTTAAAAACAACAACACTTGGATGTCAGAACTGAGTTGACATTTTAAGTCCTCTTTTCATCAAGCAGCCTCCTTTAAATAGGCAGACGTGTAGCTTTCAAAGTATCTTCAGAGTTCTACTTTCCTACCTTGAAAACTCAAAGAATAAATCCTTTTAATAAGCTCTTGGTTGGGTCCGCACACCCCTTCCTTCTGTTGAGGGAGGCATACTGAAGCGATATTATAGAAATGTGTATACCTGTCAGTAAATTAGCAGCAATGAAGAGCAAATGCCAGCATGGGTGAAATGGAAACATTTCATGTGATATGGGGTTGTGTGTGTATGTGCGTGGGTTAGAAGATGCATGCAAGGGCAAACACTGTGACCCACACTCAGGGCTGTCTATCCATTTCAGCATCTACTTAGTTGTTTCTGATTATCTTCTTTATGTTTTCCAAGTAAGTACATGTGTTGTCTTGTTGGTTATGTGTACAACCCTAGCTCCTTTTCCTTCCAGCAAGCATTGCTAATGCAAACCCCGAAGGTAAAATAAGATGGAATGCTGGGCTAACTGAACTCTTCCAATGCTAAGTTTATTCAGAATTAAGCCCATTTCAGATGTAAGCATGTGACTTATTGCAGCCTCCATTTGATCCAGCAAAACTTCTTAAATACACCTACAAATAAAAAACGCATCTGGCAAGTATTTTCAAATAATCGTATATGACTGTGGAATCTCTGAAGCTTTCTTGGCAGAAAAAAAAACAAAATCAACAATAGCAAATTAACAGCTATTAGTAATTGTATGGCATTCCCTGATAGAATTGGGCAGAATTTAATTCACAGATTAGCTCCTTCTTGGAATTATTTTGCAGCTTTGCCCTCACCTGCATTTTGAGTTCCTCGCTATATTTTTCTACCTTTTAAAATAACCACCTTTCAAAACTCAGTCCACAAGCAGGAAGTTGTGATGTGTTACAGTATCTTGTAATGCAGCTGCCTTCTCCTTATGAGTCAGTGCTGTGTAATGTCTAGGAAGTTGCTCCCTTAGCTTTTTTAAGGAGTGTTTTCATTCACACAAGCATGGTTCAGGAAAGACAGGGCTGACTCTGCATTCAGCTTGTGGCAAACAAGCAATTTTCAACAGTGCTGAAAGCATCTTGCGAGAAAAATAATCTTATCAAGGGATAGGGAGTGAGTTTGTTTTGGAGAGCCAAATTTAGCAGGAGGTTCCTTTTTTTCCGTAAACGCGCAAGATCTGGCATGCATAAACAGAAGCTGCTTTAAACACATGCTTTATGTTTGGTAACTGCAAAGCCTGCTGGATGCATTCCAGAGATTGATGAGAGCCAGTGTCTCAGTCCTGAAACCCTCATTTCTCAAACACAGCCAGATCCACACGCTATCCAGTTAAATTGAAAGCTTCCAATTTCAACTAGTCAACGAGATTGTGTTCTAGTTCATATTTTTCCATCAACAATGCATCTCAGTGGGGTTGGAGGGGAGCCTCCCAGTGGTTGTAGCAGCTGCCAGTCATCCAAAAAAGCTGTGTGTTTCAGTAAATTATCTTTGCAGATTCCTATATAAATTGATCTGATCCTCACCTCCAGGACTAATGTGCTGGTCAGAAGTTACTCTACAGATTTTACTCTACCTGGACGAAGTTTCCGGCTCAAAACAGAGAGAGAGACAGAGACAGAGAGAGACAGAGAGAGAGAGAGAGAGAGAGTTTTGAATTTATTAATAAACTGATTAATATTTCAAAAATCTCTAAGTCGCAATAAGTCCAAAAAACAAACAGTGTATCGTTAAAACATTTAAATGATCAAAAACACAACCTAAAAGCAGTAAAATGGCAAGATAAAAACACAATAAATACACATAAAGTAAATAAAGCAGAAGATCAAACATGTAAAAAAGGTTCTAGCCTATATTTATTTATTTAGTTAGTTAGTTAGTTAGTTAGCTGTTTCTAATCCACATTTTTTGTAAAATATGTAGATATAAATAAAAACAATAAAAAACAGTCTATAGATATTCATAAAATATAATTAAAGTGTCAGTAAATACTGGTTGGTTAAGAAAGAAAACTTCAGATTGTGAAGGCCTGTCAAAATGGTACAGTTTTCAGGAAATGTCTGAAAGCAGGCAGGGACCATCCCTTCTGGTTCAGGGAAAGCCTTCAGAAATGCATTTTTGTGTGTGAACTTTTATTTAAAATTACAGATTAATATGGAAACAAAATGGAGTGGATTTAGGGGTGAAAATGGCATGGGCCAGAGAAAGGAAGGCTCACCCATGCCTACACTTTGCACAATGTTGTTTACTGAAGAGAACAATGAAAGCCCTGTCTGGATTGAAGGCTCTTTCTAACAAAACAAACAAAAAGTGCTCAAACAAATATAATGGAGTGTCATAAAGGTGTGTGAATTATAACTTACAGACACTTATATAATATCCATAGGGCAATCCATAACATTTTGTTTTCATTGCTTAAAACATGCTTTT